CTCTTGGAGGAGAGACGAAACGTTTCACTAAAGAACCCATCCAGAGGACCTACTTATTTTTTCTTTTTGATTTTTTCTACCTGGATTAGGACGTTTTCCATGTAGTTGCTCCAGTTGACCACTAGATGTCAGTCTTCACCAGCATAACATCTTTAAATCATTTCTGAGTCTCTAACACCGTTATTCGATTGCTTTTGAGCTCCAACGACTAAACTTTTTTTTTTTTTTTAAAGGAGCTCCGATTGTAAAGTAAAATAAATCAATACAAAATTTTAGTATGGATTACAAACGTTTACTGTTTTTGCTGTTACATTCCTGCTACATTAGCAGACACAAAGCATTGTGGGAAATCAGAACCCTGACCCAAAGCAACAGTCAGCAGGATGTATACCTTCACAATAAGTGTGTTTATCTGGGAGGGGTGCTGTTGGATAGATCACATGTTGTGATTCATTGACAGTCATACCTTCTGCTGTTCAAGATAAAGATGACTGGTAGATAATTAGTTATTAGCCGTACTGCATTTTAATTTTAGAAAGCACAAATCCGCTTATGAATTATAATAATTAGCAAGACCGCTAAAGTGCAAATGAAATATTTAGGTCCGCAATTAGCAGATTTGCGCTTTAGCAGGCTGGTGCCCACCACTGAATACGGGTTATAATAATGATGCTGTTTGAGAAGCACTGGATTATAAAACAAACTTTGAACAAATTCTCTGAGTGATGTTTAATCAGTGCAGGAACAGAACTAAAGGTGGCACAAATACAAAAACATCTGTTCCTGTCTGAGAAAACTCAAGTGACACGATGTTTCAGACTCGTTTAGATTAAAAAAACACTAAAAAAAAAAAGTCTTACCCATTATGCAACGCGGCTCGAGGGTCCTGGCTGCTCTTCACTTTGATCATGATGAGGGAGAAGAGCAGGAAAAACATGGCCATGCCGAAACAGACCCGGTACACGGCCTTGTAGCCCACCAGCACGTCACAGTTCACGTGACCCTCCACACCGGGGATAGAGGACCCAATCCCCCCCTCACAGAAACCTGGAATCTACAGCAGGAACACAAAACAACCAGAGGGGCCCACACCACCCAGGACCCACCAGGACCATCAGTGCTGACACTGATCAGATTCTGATTTCTCTCCAACAACTTTAATTTAGTTAATAATTTTTTATGTGTAATAAAATCCAAAGTGTCTTTTTTGTGTCAGGACAGGATCTGTCTACAACTGAAACAATTAAATCAAACATCATCAATCTTGACATGACTCAGAGATATTCTTTTGTTGGTTAATGTCGATTAGTTGTGGCGGACATCTTGAATCAAGATGGCTTCAAAAGTTAATCAGCTGTGATTTAAAATGTGCCCATTGGTTCATAAGATATTTTGCTAACACGGCAGACAAACAAACAAGAACTAAAAGGCTTTAAAATTAATGAAAGCCAGAAGTTGAAGTGTTTTAGCTGATATGAGGAAACTGAACTCAGCCCACCTTCTTCAGGTGTCCCTCCATTCCCGGCATCAACATGACGCAGGCCACGCCCACACCCAGCAGCAGGAAGAAGGCGTAGATGAGCCGGGTCACTGTAGAGTTGTTTCCACTGGGACAGCACCGACACAGCAGGCAGGGGGCGCTGCCGCACAGGCACGGGATCTGTGGACACAAGGACCTGTCCGTTTAACAAAAAGACCTGCCCGTCTAACACAAAGACCTGCCCGTCTAACACAAAGACCTGCCCGTCTAACAC